TGACCAGTGTGCTGGAGACTTGCATGGTTCCAGAGTTGTGCTGATTCCTGGTGCAATGCTTTACAGGCTCCTGCAGACAGAAATAATAAATGCACATTTTTTTACCTGCAAAAAATGTGCATTTATTACTTTTTACTAAAAGTTGAACTTATCCTTTAAAGGGAAAGATTTAGACAGTGATTGGAGTACACCTAGCACCCTGGGAAGAGGGCAGGGACTGATAGTTGTATTATTGATCTTGATGGAAAAGTCGTGAGGAAATGTGAGCTCTGTTTTAGAAAAGTGTTGTTTTGCGATGACTGAAAATGCCCTGATGGGCTATTTTGCTTTTCCTAAGTGCTTGCTGTCTCTGTACCCATTTAAGAAGGTGACTGCCATACCCAAAAAAGGCGCTGCTGTGTTTGGGTATCCAACAGATAAGCGGCTCTTTCCAGAACTATGTTCCCTTGGAAGGTCCTGCCTTTCTCCCAATTTTGGTTGTAACTTTGCTGATGTCTGATTGATAAAAATCTAACCACGATTGCCATTGGCCCTCAGATAATTGAGCATGTGAACCAGATGTCTGTGACATTGAACTTTAGTTGCAATGGAAGCTTTCTGGCATATTTCTTGAATTAGTGACTTGTCAGTACATATGTTCAGGTACCTTTGGTTAAATTACTGAACTGCGGTTGAACCACATGTATTTGAACAGAGTAAATGCATGTCTCCTGGAACCGCTGAGCACAGTAGGGAACGTGAGCTCGACACTCCTGGAAGTGTCACTGTCTGAAATGTCTTCAGAGGAAGTTTTCTCTGCAGTGGAGTAACATGTGGCAGCAGGAGAGGTAAACGCTTCTTCTATTCTTTTACAGGGAACTCTTGTTGACAAATGTTAATTTTGTTGACAGGGTTAACCTTAGGAAGAACCATAAATGATTTCTTCTGTAATCCTGGAAAGTGTCCATCCCATTAGTGCTGATGCATTGGTCACGTGGGGGTTGATTTACTAAAACTGGAGAGTGCAAAATCTGGTGAAGCTCTGCATAGAAACCAATCAGCTTCCAGTTTTTTTCGCCACATCATTGGAATCAGTGGAAGGAATTATGCTCCACTGTTGGTGTACATAGATGGAATGATGCCTCATCATTGGTATCAGTGGAAGGAATTATGCCCCACTGTTGGTGTACATAGATGGAATGATGCCTCATCATTGGTATCAGTGGAAGGAATTATGCTCCACTGGTGGTGTACATAGATGGAATGATGCCTCGTCGTTGGTATCAGTGGAAGGAATTCTGCCCCACTGTTGGTGTACATAGATGGAATGATGCCTCGTCGTTGGTATCAGTGGAAGGAATTCTGCCCCACTGTTGGTGTACATAGATGGAATGATGCCTCATCGTTGGTATCAGTGAAAGGAATTATGCCCCACTGGTGGTGTACATAGATGGAATGATGCCTCGTCGTTGGTATCACTGGAAGGAATTATGCCCCACTGTTGGTGTACATAGATGGAATGATGCCTCGTCGTTGGTATCACTGGAAGGAATTATGCCCCACTGTTGGTGTACATAGATGGAATGATGCCTCATCATTGGTATCAGTGGAAGGAATTTTGCCCCACTGGTGGTGTACATAGATAGAATGATGCCTCGTCGTTGGTATCACTGGAAGGAATTATGCCCCACTGTTGGTGTACATAGATGGAATGATGCCTCGTCATTGGTATCAGCGGAAGGAATTATGCCCCACTGGTGGTGTACATAGATGGAATGATGCCTCGTCGTTGGTATCACTGGAAGGAATTATGCCCCACTGTTGGTGTCAGAGAAAGGAATTATGTCCCACTGTTGGTGTACATAGATGGAATGATGCCTCATTGTTGGTGTTAGTGGGAGGAATAGTGCCCCATATCAGTGGAGATAATAGAGTCCCAATGGCCAGGAAAAGGCAAGCAAAGGGCCAATCCTGCCCACAGTTTGGAGACAACTGGGTTAGAGGTCCAGCATATGTCTTTCCATTCATCATTTTGATGCTTCATCTGCCTGTCAGTGACATCTGCTTTTCACCTACTCCTGTTTTTTTATGCCAGTCTCATCTTGATGTAAAAATGTTGATTATGTTTGTGTTGTTGCACATAATTTTTCCTTAATTTTATTCTCTCAGTGATGGACCAGTTTATATATGATTACATGAATGAGGTAAATAAGGAGATTGAGAAATACAACAGAGATTTGGAGCAGCAGGAATATTACGACATCTTTGGACAGAAGCTGTGAGAGGTCTGCCGTCTGCTTGATGTAGTGTTCCACATTACATGCCATTAGCAAAATTACCGCGCAGCCCAAAGCACCATCTGGAAGAAGCATTTTCTAACCTGTTTCAGATGTGATTATGCTTCATTTTCTCTGGGTTTTTATAAATCAGTTTGCACCTTATGTATTCAATCTGTTCACAGGAGCACTGCTGGGAGCTCATGGGTCTTCCGGCCAATTATCAGACATATGTAACATTCACAAAGAGCAAGACGCTTGTACCGAACCACTAATGACTAAAGGGCCGCGTGTTGCACATTAAGTGTTCTCATCCATTGTCCACTTAATGTGACTTACACGCTGAAGTCAGGAGTGTTTTACAGTTCAGTTTTCACACTTCTGATAAATTTGAGCACAATGTTTTAAGTATTTAAGTAACACACTTATGTTGACTTTACTGAAAAAGTATTGTGTTACTTTATATAACATTGTGCCTGATTAGCACTTTATAAGTTGATTTAGGATGTTTTGATTAGTGGTGCATTTTGGAGGCAGCCATCTTGTAACATATTGGAGAATGCAGCCTATCTGTTCCCTAGGGACCAGGATCATCGCCAAGAATGAGGCTAATGACTTCCCTGAGACTGCAGGGTGTCATTCCACTGGATGCTAGTGACATCACTGAGAATGCAGCCTATCCATTTACCTAGGGACCAGCATCTTCATTGAGAACGAGGCTAATGACTTCCCTGAGACTGCATGGTGTCATTCCACTGGATGCTAGTGACATCACTGAGAATGCAGCCTATCCATTCCCTAGGGACCAGCATCATTACCCAGAATGAGGCTAATGACTTCTCTGAGACTGCAGGGTGTCATTCCATTGGATGCCTATCCATTCCCTAGAGACCAGCATCATCATTGAGAACGAGGCTAATGACTTCCCTGAGATTGCAGGGTGTCGAGACTCTATTCCCTAGGGACCAGAATCATCATTGAGAACGAGGCTAATGACTTCCCCGAGATTGCAGGGTGTCGAAACTCTATTCCCTAGGGACCAGAATCATCATTGAGAACAAGGCTAATGACTTCCCCGAGACTGCAGGGTGTCATTCCACTGGCTGCTAGTGACATCATTGAGAATGCAGCTTATCCATTCCCTAGAGACCAGCATTGTCATTAAGAATGAGGCTAATGACTTCCCTGAGACTGCAGGGTGCCATTCCACTGGCTGCTAGTGGCATCACTGAAAATGTAACCTATACTTTCTCTAGGGACCAGCAGCATTACTGAGAAAGATACCTATCCCTTTTCTAGATACTAGTAACATCACAGAGAAGGCAGCCTATCCTTTCTATTGGGGCATGGCAACATCACTGAGAAAGATACCTATCCATTTGCTAGGTACTAGTAATATCATGGAGATTGCAGCCTATCCTTTCTCTAGGGACCAGCAGCATTACTGAGAAAGATATCTATCAGTTTTCTAGATCCTAGTAACATCATAGAGATTGCAGCCTATCCTTTCTGTTGGGACTGGCCACATTACTGAGAAAGATATCTATCCCTTTCCAAGATACTGGTAACATAATGGAGAGTGTAGCCTATCCTTTCTCTAGGGACGAGCAACATTACGGAGAAAGATACCTATCCCTTTGGTAGATACTAGTAACATCATGGAGAATGTAGCCTTTCCTTTCTCTAGGGACCAGCAACATTACAGAGAAAGATACCTATCCCTTTTCTAGATACTAGTAACATCACAGAGAAGGCAGCCCATCCTTTCTATTGGGGCATGGCAACATCACTGAGAAAGAAACCTATCCATTTGCTAGGTACTAGTAATATCATGGAGATTGCAGCCTATCCTTTCTCTAGGGACCAGCAGCATTACTGAGAAAGATATCTATCCCTTTTCTAGATCCTAGTAACATCATAGAGATTGCAGCCTATCCTTTCTGTTGGGACTGGCCACATTACTGAGAAAGATATCTATCCCTTTCCAAGATACTGGTAACATAATGGAGAGTGTAGCCTATCCTTTCTCTAGGGAGGAGCAACATTACGGAGAAAGATACCTATCCCTTTGGTAGATACTAGTAACATCATGGAGAATGTAGCCTTTCCTTTCTCTAGGGACCAGCAACATTACGGAGAAAGATACCTATCCCTTTTCTAGATACTAGTAACATCACAGAGAAGGCAGCCCATCCTTTCTATTGGGGCATGGCAACATCACTGAGAAAGAAACCTATCCATTTGCTAGATACTAGTAACATCATGGAGATTGCAGCCTATCCTTTCTGTTGGGACTGGCCACATTACTGAGAAAGATACCTATCCCTTTCCAAGATACTGGTAACATAATGGAGAATGTAGCCCATCCTTTTTCTACGGACCAGCAACATTACAGAGAAAGATACCTATCCCTTTGCTAGATACTAGTAACATCATGGAGAATGTAGCCTATCCTTTCTCTAGGGACCAGCAACATTACGGAGAAGGATACCTATCCCTTTGCTAAATATTAGTTTCATCACTGAGAATGCAGCCTATCCTGTCTCTAGGGACCAGCAACATCACACAGCCCCCAGCGGGCTGATTAAAAAAAAAACTGAACGGATTCCCCCATCCACAAAAGCAAGGTGGATAGCGGAATCTTCCCGTTGGGTTATTATATATTGGTTATTGAGGAGTTCTCTGCTGTCAGAATACATTACTCAGCACTGCAGCCAATTGGTCAGACAAAACTATTCCATCAAGCCTATTCGTGAGAAGTCGATGACTAAAGGACAGTTTCACTTTTCGTAACATGCTACCTATTACACCCATATTGAGGGTGTAATATGTAACGAACAGTCCGGCCCCTGCTCCCTGTTGTGACAGGTAGAGGGGGATGTCGTCTCCTCCTCGCTAGCTGTCACAATTTGGGAAAAAAACGCAGCCATGTGGGGCTCCGACATCATTGAATGAATGAACTACAAAAAGCTGCATATTAGGCACATTGGGGGAGATTTACTAAAAGTGGAGCGCTCAGAATCAGGTGCAGCTGTGCATGGGAGCCAATCAGGTTCTAACCTCAGCTTGTTCCGGTAAAGTGTTACTAAACCCACAACCGTAAAATCAGTCTGTATATTATTATTATTATTATTATTATTATTATTATACAGTATGTATAAAGCGCCAATAGTTCGCTCAGCGCTGTACATTACAAAGGGGGACAGAACATGTGACAGAACAATACCAATACAATGCAAAACATGAGGGGATCGAGGGCCCTGCTCTTTCGAGCTTACATGCAATAAAGCATGCTTGTTATACTCACTGTGGAACCTAAGGGGTTAATCCTCTGCATTCTGTAAAAAGGCTGTTTGATTCTTTCTTCTCTGCCCCCCCCCCCCCTTGTTGAATTGACCGCCTGATACAGACAACCCATGGCCACATGCTCAGTGTGGTGTGTATTGCTAGAGAGGTTTTTTTTTTTTTCTTGGGACGGTTCATGTGATCAGCACAGGGCCAACCAGCACTGTTCAGACAGAGGGCAGTGGTTCTGCATCCTACTAGAGCAGAAAGAAAACTCCTCCCACAGTCTTTAACCAGTGCTCTGCTGAAGTCACAAGACTGCTCTAACTGCTCATTAGAAAAGGTATTTGGCAGTTTATATTTACTAAAATAACTGCATTTCCATGTTGTGTGTAGTGTGGGAGACCAAATATAATGAGGGCAGGGTACTGGAAGACCGGATATAGTGAATGCAGGGTCCTGGAAGACCGGATATAGTGAATGCGGGGTCCGGGGAGACCGGATACAGTGAATGCAGGGTCCGGGGAGACCGGATATAGTGAATGCAGGGTCCGGGGAGACCAGATATAGTGAATGCAGGGTCCCGGGAGACCAGATACAGTGAATGCAGGGTCCGGGGAGACCGGATACAGTGAATGCAGGGACCGGGGAGACCGGATACAGTGAAAGCAGGGTCCGGGGAGACCAGATATAGTGAATGCAGGGTCCAGGGTGACCAGATATAGTGAATGCAGGGTCTGGGGAGGCCAGATATAGTGAATGCAGGGTCTGGGAGGCCAGATATAGTGAATGCAGGGTCCGAGGAGACCAGATATAGTGAATGCAGGGTCTGGGGAGGCCAGATATAGTGAATGCAGGGTCTGGGAGGCCAGATATAGTGAATGCAGGGTCTGGGGAGGCCAGATATAGTGAATGCAGGGTCTGGGGAGACCAGATATAGTGAATGCAGGGTCTGGGGAGGCCAGATATAGTGAATGCAGGGTCCTGGGAGACCAGATATAGTGAATGTAGGGTCTGGAGAGGCAAGATATAGCAAATGCAGGGTCTAGGGAGACCAGATATAGTGAATGCAGGGTCTGGGGAGGCCAGATATAGTGAATGCAGGGTCCGGGGGGACCGGATATAGTGAATGCAGGGTCCGGGGGGACCGGATATAGTGAATGCAGGGTCCGGGGAAATCAGATACAGTGAATGCAGGGTCCTGGGTTTAGTAACACTAAGCTTTGGAAATAAAACCTTGAAGCTGACTGGTTTCTATGCAGAAATGAGCCTGATTTTGTGCTTTCCAGCTTTATTAAATAAGCCCCATAGTTTACTAAACCTGCCCTATTGCTGCTGACAATGATGTAGATCAGAGATTAATAATATACTCCTTGAAACATTTACATGGAATAAAATTGCTTCTAGGTTAGTTATCGGTCTGCACGGGAATTTGTTTAATAGCATTTTTGTTTCTATGCGGACAAAACCTGTACAATTATAAATGCTATTAATTAGCTGCCTAAAAAGGTGTAATTGGCACAGTTCTCCCTCTATTATGCGATTCATTTCTCAGTCTTGACATGCTGCTTCTGTGAAAGGTAAAGCTTCCTTCTCGTAGCAGGGACACAGGAGGTATTGACAAGCTAAGAAACGTTAAAGCTGGCAGAAGTAAGGACTGTCTGTGTTGCCCCCAACACTCAACATTCTCA